AAGGGGCAAGAAAACAAAGGAGAGGTATTTGGATGCGAGAATCAGCTGAAAATCTGTATATATATTTAAAGCATCCCATGACGGTGTCACCATTAGTAAGGAACTATACAGGGATTAAAAAAAAAGGAAAAATAAAAAAAAAAAAAAAAGGAAACATAAAAATACTCCGAAAAATCCCCGGTTTTGGAAAGCTGTGAACAAACAGGACACAATCACAGCCCATTAGAGCCTCCTGCAATTAAAACCACCTTCAAATACCACGAATAGATCGTCAGCACGTGGTATTAAATATTTGTTTCATGCTACTCTGGAAAGGAGGCTTCAGAGTCATAACGCAATGATAGATACAGTCATTAACATATTCATTTATGAATAATAAGCCGGATTCACCTCTAAAAAGGAACCGATTCAAGCAGGGAGCAGTATAACTAACTGTCCGGGGCAAACGTAAGTGCAAGAAGCAGCAGCTCCAGGCTGGGAGTTCCCCGCTCCCGGCTCCCGCCTTGTCCCGGCGGGTATCGGAATGCCACCCAATAGGAAGCGGCATTTGTAGTCACGTTGGACGGCTTGTCCAATAGGAATGAAGCATTTCTATCCGCGCCGCACCCGAGCCGCAGGGCAGTGCGGGGGCTTTCTCGTCTCGCCCGCTCCCGCCCTGGGCCGGCGGGGGTCTGCCGCCGCCCGTGCTCAGCTCGGGCAACGAGAAATGCTGCTTTCCCTGTTGCCTCTTAAATCATTTATTCTCTATTTGCCGCAAATCAGGGTCGCTTCTTGCCCCTTACGCCCCAGTTGTCCAAGGCAACCGAATCCCCAGTACGAATCAACGGGCATCTCCGGAAGAAATGGCTGCACCATTAACAACGGCTAGGAGTGCCGGTGTCCCTGGTGTATGGGTCACCATACACACCCTGGTGTATGGGTCTAGTGTCAAGCACTAGATAAAATAACAACCTCCCGGCTAGGAAAAGATACGGAGATCGCTTCTCTGCACCTGGAAAAAAAAGCCCTTCAAAGCATTCATTATTTTCCGTATTTGCCCTCAGGTTACGATAGAGACAAGCGAAGGATTTCGCTATGAGACTTCAAGCCTATGACTGATATTAATAATGGAGGCAGGGAAATATTCGCTGGTATCATCGGTCTCCAGATGAGGCCATGACAAGGCGCAGGATGAAAGCCCCGGCTCTGCAACTCGGGAGAGCTGCACAGGTTCGTGACTGGTCAAGGAAAGGATCTGCTCGAGCAACTATATGGCTCAGGCTCCGCTGACTGCCCTAGAAGCAGGAGCTGCAGCGCTCAGGACGGTCCTGCTTGTAACTAACTCACAGCTGAGAAAGGGACCAATACACGCATGGGGTTGGGCGGCGCCTGGGAGGAAAAAGAAAAGCAGCTCGCCAACGCAGAAAGGAGTCTTACTCTTCGGAGGTGTGGAAGAGGTTAAACCCAAGTGTTTCTTTGAAATTTATAAAGGTAATGCAGGGGTTTTTTAGGAATGACCTGCTTAAAGGTAGCTGAAAAAGCATCCTCCCCCCCCATTTAGGCATACATCCGCACCTAGCTCCAGAAATATCTTCAGACTGCTGGTAGTTTCCTGCTGCCCAGCAGGCTAGTGAAGGACCCTGGGTTTAAAGGTAAGAAAGTTGCTACCAAATGTGCTAGCTCAAAGCACATTTTCTGCACCTGGGTGGAAGGAGAAGGGATCTTCTGTTAAAAAAAGGTCCTTTTAAGTGTTGCTTATTTGTTGTATAAAAGAGCCATCGTAGAGGACCCTTCATATGGCAATTGAATTTACGGCAAATAAATACAGGTTTTAAAAATCGAATAAAGATATAGTCACACGTTTGGAGCTGGCTAGCAGGGGGAAAACATGTTTCACAGCTGTCACCTATACCAGTAACTATCCTGTCCTAAACCTAGGCAAATCACTCCCTCAATTAGAACTAAATTGCTGTGGTTTTAGGTTGTATTCAGTGGAGGTGAGTGTGTTCAGTAATAAATCATGGTCCCTGGCTCATTAGCTTCATTCTGGTCGTTTATGTATTAAACGAGTTAATCATTTTAAACGATTTCTAGGGAGCATTGGCATACAGGGGTTGTGCAAATGAGATGCCACTTGCAAAAGCTGTGACACCAGCTAGCTTTGTAAAGTTATGGCTATGGGGAATCTGTCAGGAAACAGTCTTGCTTTACAGATGTTTCAAACAAACTTAAAGAGATGCGACACGTTTTCTTTGCAGAACCACCCTTCCATTTCCTTCTGTTCTGTATGGTGGTGATGCCTATTAAGGCTCTTCCTTAATTATAGATCCTATTTACCAATTTGGGTCTTTCTTCCAAGTAATCGTCAAGGATTTAGAAAGGCTACTGAAAGATTTTAGTGATCTGCAGAATAGGAATTGAATCCGCAAAAAGCGAGCAATGAAACAATTTACATAACTGCGGAGAGAGAGGGAGCGTGTCTGTCTGAGAGAGATCTCTCCCCTCAGTTATACTGGAGGACACCTCTTTGGGGTAGTATGCAAATGGAGCACCTCTTTTAGGTGCCTTCCAATAACTGAATATTTTCTTGTTCGAGAAGAAAACTCGAGATCGGAGGGATCTGTCCGGTTGCACTGAAGCCAGACTCATCAGTCATCAATCAAGAGAGCTCTACATTTCTCCCAGATGTACAAGGGTGAATAAATTAAAGTACTACGATGCGTCTGCCTCAGCACTTTTCCTGTGCCATCATTGTGCTTTTTTTCCATCAGGAAAATCTGCCTATAGCTAAATCTTTCTAAATAGGGCAAGTCATTCAAAATTAATATTTATGTTTTATTGAAATAATGATGCATCTCGTTCTCATGAGGATTTTTTTTAGCCCTTCTCTCTTTCTGATTTAACAAACTACTCCCTTCCCTTGCATGGCAGGGCATTGGCATTGCCCTTGTCCCGCTGCCTCACCTGTGGCAAGTTAAAAGGACCCCTGAGGTTTCTTCCAACCTCACTCTTTTGTGACTCCCTCCGTGGAAGATTTGCCATTCATTTCTTTCCGAAGTGAGAAAGGAGGATGAGTATGCAAAGCTACAGCCAACCAGGCAGATGCTTCCTCAGCCTGAGGAAGGGGTTTTAACCCCGAAAGCTTGCTGAGGAAGACACTTTCCAGCTAGTTAGCTGGTCTAATAACAGATATCAGATGCACCCCGAGAGCCTTGCCAAGCTACAACCCAGGCGTCCACCTCCTTCCGTTGCCTTTTACTTGAGCGGAGATCTGGGGTCTTGCTTTGACTTGGACGCACCTTTGAAGCCAGAGCAATCCTGGCAGGCTCCCCCTGAGGAAGAGCCGGTGTTTCTCGCCCGCCTTTGCGGCGCGCGGCGGGCCAGCCGGAGGAAGGAACGGGGCGATTTCTTCGCGCAGGGAATCTCTCTGCCCCCCGCGGCCCTATCCCGCAGTCTCCTCCTGCCGCCTGCCGACAGGGCCTTTCCGTCTAGCAGCAAACCCACATTTTATCCGGGCACGGGGGCCGGCGCACGGGTCAGGGCGGGTTCCGGCGCTTTTCACCGAGGGGACTTGGTTCATTTAACCCGGCAAACTAACGGGGCGATTTCTTCGCGCAGGGAATCTCTCTGCCCCCCGCGGCCCTATCCCGCAGTCTCCTCCTGCCGCCTGCCGACAGGGCCTTTCCGTCTAGCAGCAAACCCACATTTTATCCGGGCACGGGGGCCGGCGCACGGGTCAGGGCGGGTTCCGGCGCTTTTCACCGAGGGGACTTGGTTCATTTAACCCGGCAAACTAGGGGGGGAGAAAGAGCTAACACAATTCCGCGGTGAAACAAATGATCTGCAAAATTAAGCAGATATGGGGGGGAATCTTTTTTTTAAAAAAAAGGAAGTGCTACATAAGTGGTTGGCAATTTGATATAATGTGCTGCTTTTAAACACCGTAACAACTGCTGTGAAAGGATCTTGAGACATGCTTGTTCCAGGTGACAATATTATTATTATACTGTCCAAGGAATTGCATTGACATTCATAACCAGACTAATGAAACAGGAGTGGAACATCCTGCGTTGGTCTCACCTGTGCTGACTTCTGCTTGTGCACATAGTAATTGTCCTTTTTCTCACAGCCCATAACAGCTTCTGTATTATTATATTCCCCACTCTGCTATTGTTGGACATCATTCAAGTTCTCAAGCATTGACTTGTGCGACAGTCATTTTGTTGAGGGTGCAGGGGGGGACAAAGAGCAAACGCTAAATGACACAGTTACTACATTAGAGTAATTAAATTAAAAAGGGCGGACTTTCAGTATCACAACACTGACATAACACAAAATAAAGCTGCAGTATTATGAATATTTTCATGAGTTTCTGTAATTTCACATCACACACTAGGAAGATTTGATGTCC